CTGCAGACTATCATGGTGGGGCGGGCTGGGGGTGAGGCTGGCCGGGGGGGCAGGGGGTGTGTTTGGGCAGCCGGCCCTGCCCTTGATCGGGGTGGGAGAGTCCGATCAGGGGTGGGCTGGCCGGGGGGAGGGGCCGCGGGAGGTTAGCCAACGGGCCCCACTCCCTGATCGGGCTGGTTCCCTGGCCACCATGGGCATCATAGCGACCGGTCACTCAGGTTGTTATAGCGTTACGCTGGCTTTTTAAATACATAGACTAGAGGGCAAGTGCATGAAATTCATGCATGGAGGGGAGTGTCCCTCAGCCCGGCCTGCACCCTCTCCAATCTGGGACCCCTCGGGGGATGTCTGACTGCCGGTTTAGGCCCAATCCCCGATCTCACAGGGATCAGGCCTAAACCGGCAATCGGACATCCCTCTCGCAATACAGGACCGCTGGCTCCTAACCGCTCGCCTGCCTGCCTGCCTGATTGCCCCTAATCGTTCCTGCCTGCCAGCCTGATCGCTCCCTAACTGCTCTCCTGCTGGCCTGATTGATGCCTAACTGCTTCCCTGCCAGCCTGATCGCCCCCAACTGCCCTCTCCTGACGGCCTGATGGCTCCCAACTGCCCTCCCCTGCCAACCTGATCGTCCACAACTGCCCTCCCCTGCTGCGACCCGCCTCCTCCGCTGGGCCCTGCCTCTGCTGTGCACACAGCCATCTTGTGACGGCCATCTTGTGACGATGTTAGGGCGTGATGCATGAGGGTGTGACGACCACCTAGGCTATTCTTAGTATAGATTATATATGTAATGTAACTTCTAATTCACTTCATAAAGTTATACATAGAATGCGAAGTTCAATATGTCCTTTATGAACATTTTATTAAAATATGGCGAGGCTCAGTGGTTGAGTGTCAACCTATAAACCACATGATCATGGTTCTATTCCCAGTCAGGGCACATGCCCAGGTGGAGGACTTGATCTCCAGTAGGGTGCGTGCAGGAGGGATCAATGATTCTCATCATTGATGTTTCTATCTCTCCTCTCCATTCCTCTGTTAAGTCAATAAAAATATATTTTTTTAAAATATTTATGCTGTATAAACTAATAGTCACTTTTCTTTGTCTCACGTAGTACTTATCATATAAATATGCACTTATGGAAAGTAGCATAGCAGGTTATAAAATTACATTAATTTTCAATACTTATAAAGTCATACCTCACCATAAAGAACCTACACATATACTAATCCCAACACATCAATATCTATAAATCAATAACTCAGAGCTATTGTATGAAATTCCTTTTAATTGTAAAACTACTATCTCTGTATAATTTTTAATAAAAATATCAAATAGTTTGATAGCTTTTCACTTGCATGTTGCTTTCTGTGTCATCATATATTATACATACCTTTTTCATGATTGTTCAAAATCAGAGTTGTACATGCATATAGTTTAAACCAGGGGTGGGCAAACTTTTTGACTCGAGGGCCACAATGGGTTCTTAAACTGGACCGGAGGGCCGGAACAAAAGCATGGATGGAGTGTTTGTGTGAACTAATATAAATTCAAAGTAAAGATCATTACATAAAAGGGTACGGTCTTTTTTTTTTTTTAGTTTTATTCATTTCAAACGGGCCGGATCTGGCCCGCGGGCCGTAGTTTGCCCACGGCTGGTTTAAACAGTCAAATAGTTTGATAAGGTTTTTTAAATAAGGCCTCTGCTCCCCTCGCCTCCCATTTCCAACTTCCCAGAACAAACTGATTATATTTACCTGTATAATATCAGATAACATGCTTATATTGCTATTGCCTGATTTTTTAGTTTTAGACATGATTGTGGACTTCTAAATACAGAGGAATAGGATTTAACCTCTTTCATACACACCTGTGCAGACCCCCAACACACACATATTCCTATGACCCTGGCATACCTGTGTTATCTTTCATGCTTCCTTCCATTAGAGTTATGGAAATTGTGGTCACTATTCCATATTCACATTGTTATGAACGTGTTAGAATTATATGAGTACTTTGCCTTTCAAGCACAACTTTCTACTTTTCCTAAAATTGTTTGTTTTTCTGAGTGTTTATTGTTTAACTAGAGGCCCGGTGCACAAAAATTTGTGCACTCGGGGAGAGGGGGTCCCTCAGCCTGGCCTGTGCCCTCTCGCAGTCTGGGACCCCTCGGGGGTGACCACTTGCTGGCTTAAGCCTGCTCCCCGGGGGGATTGGGCCTAAGATGGCAATCAGACATCCCTCTGGCAGCCCGGCAGCCCTCGGGGGATGTCCACTTGCCAGCGGGGAGCAGACCTAAGCTGCAGTCAGACATTCTTAGCGCTGCTGAGGAGGCAGGAGAGGCTCTCACCACCACTGCTGTACTGGCAGCCATCAGCCTGGCTTGTGGCTGAGCAGAGCTCCCCCCTGTGAGAGCACACTGACCACCAGAGGGCAGCTCCTGCATTGAGCATCTGCCCCCTGGTGGTCAGTGTGTATCATAGTGACCAGTCATTCCCAGTCTTTCTGCTGTTAGGGTCAGTTTGCATATTACCCTTTTACTATATTTTACTATATAGGATAGAGGCCTGGTACACGGGTGGGGGCCGGCTGGTTTGCCCTGAAGGGTGATCCGGATCAGGGTGGGGGTCCCGCTTGGGTGCCTGGCCAGCCTGGGTGAGGGGCTGATGGCTGTTTGAAGCTGGTCACACCCCCTTCAGGGTGGGGGTCCCCACTGGGATGCCTGGCCAGTCTGGGTGAGGGGCTGAGGGCCGTTTTCAGGCTGGCAGGCAACTGAAGCTCCCAGCCTCTACTTTTTTTCTTTTTTTTTTATTCTGGGATTTATTTACCTTCTATAGCTGTCACTGGAGCTGAGAGCCGGCTCCAGCTCTGAGACCCGGCTCCAGCTCTGAGGCTGCGGCTGGCTGAAAGCAGGTATCTGGGTTTGTTTAGCTTCTATAATTGAAACATTGTTGCTTCCGGAGCTCAGAGCTGGGCCAAGGCAGGCAGGGAACCTTGGCTTCCTCCATCACTGGAGCAAGCAAGCCTCATGTTCGCTTCAGCTGCGTGGTTGCTGGCCACCATCTTTGTTGGCAGTCAATTTGCATATCCTGCTGATTAGCCAATGGGAAGCGTAGCAGAGGTATGGTCAATTACCATGTTTGTCTATTATTAGATAGGATTAATTCCCACACTTCTCTCTAATTGTCTAAATTTCTTTGTACTTTCAAAACATCAGACACTATTTCTTTTTCTTTGTGCCCTTTCTCCCAGACTCTTTTGATCTGTCCCAGTCTTGGCAGGTTAGCTTCACCCCAGTCCTCATGAACTACAGTGGGAGCTCCTCTCACCTTCACCATCAGATTCCCTTTATGTCCTTACACCTCCGTTCCTAGAAACCATGTCAAGTTTACTTCTTCCTGCATTGTCTGTTTCTTCTCCAGTGCTTTCTTCTCTCTCTCTCTCTCTCTCTCTCTCTCTCTCTCTCTCTCTCTCGTTCATTCATTCATTTTGTTTTGTTTTCTATTGCTCATTAAAAGCTCTACTCAGATGCTAGTGAAACTGGGCTGTTGGCATATAAGAGGTGGGTTTGAAAAGGCTTATTGAAAGACCTGGGCACAGGGGTGGGGCTTTATCATAGGTGATCTAGCTGAGTCAGTTGGCTGAAGACCCTCATTATCAGTAGTTGTGGGCCCTTCCTCTTAGACAAATCATCTTCTCTAGAGAAGACTTTTCCAGTTTCCTTCTGGGAGCCAGGAACAGTGGGGAGAAGAGTGGGATTCTCAAGCTTCAGCAGAAAACTTTCCTTTATCCCTTCCTTTCAGTAGGCACCCCACTTTCAGTCTTGTAGGATGTTCCCCGTGGACCTGGAGGAGGCCCCCGCTGTGTTCTGTAGGGAGTGGGGCACAGTCACCAGGCTGCATGGAACTCAGAGTGCAAAGTAGACTGGGAAACAGATGTTCAATAGTCCTCCTGATCCTGCCCGCCCATTCCTGTGCCTTTCAGAGGCCCTGGCTGGATCAGTTTGTTTCTTGGCCATACTGCCAGCTTCGAAGTCGGCTCTTTCAAGTTGATCCAGTTGGCCATTTCTTCCTTCTACATTCCAGCTTCCAAAATCTTGTTGCTGTTTCTCCTTTCCTATTTTTTATGGTTATTGCCTCCTTTTAATCCCTTTCCTTTTATAAGTTTCAAGGGGGGTTAAAAATAAATGTATTGCCAATTCATCATCTTTAACTAGAAGCCTGTAAAAACATGAAAGACATCTGATGAATGTTTTATGTAATTCAGGCTCTTTGCAATGTATTCTGTACATTTATTTCCATATTTTTAAGCCTAAAACATTTTAGATTTTATAAAAATGTATGGATAGCTTTGCTTTTATGCTCTGTATCAGGTCATACCTGTTATTTATTTGATACAGTGTCCAGGTCAGAAGACCAGCCTCCTATGAGAATGTGCAGTTCATTTGGGATGTTCTGCCTTAGGGCGTGGCTTGCCTACTTTGGAAAAGGAAGGCTCTCTCAGCTAATTTTTTAAAAAATTACCTTTTTGTAATGCTTTTAGGTTATATTACCAAGTAAAAGATGAAAGAATAGAAAGGCTGAGAGAAAATTGCCCAAAGTGCTGATAACTAAAGGTTGTAATTGGGTGATGAGACTGTGGGTGATTTCCTTTTTCAGGTTTGACCTATTGTTAACATTTTTTTGTAATGAGGTATATGACTTTTATGATAAAAACCAAAATTAACTAAGACAATTCTAAGAATCTATGCCACATTTTTGGTATGGCTATCTTTATATCTTTGGGCCAGAATCTGTATATGGGAACACATCTTCAATGGGATCATATAAGTCAATAAAAAAATTAATTTGTTTTAGATAAATTTTCTTATAGACAACTTTCCATCAACCCATCTCTCCATTAAAGTCAAGCATGCCACCATTTAACCGACATTTTCTTTGTTTATTTTTCCCATGAAGCTATAAGTCTGAAATTTTTTCAATGTAATTTATATTTAGACAAGAGATAAAAGAAATATTTTTATTATAAAAAGAAGTTCATTTGATGTTACACAGAGTTTCTTAGATCATGTTTTCATGAATGTTTTAATATTGTTCATGTCTTTTCATCCTTCCTTCCAGCCAATACAAGAGTTGCGGGAAGTTGTTCTTAATATTTTGCAAGACCAGAACAGAGCCAGAGACGGTACTGTGTTTTGTATTTAAATTCACTCCCTTTAGCCCTACAAGTACGAGTCACTGAGGGTCACCTAGGAGAAAAAGAAGTCCTCTGAAATGCCTCTCGCCCTTGGTTTCTGTGGTCCGGCCCTCTCGACCAGTATCCCTCAGGAGATACAATGGATTATTTTTATGAAATTAGAAGGTGACAAATCTTTTTCCTTAAGAATAGATTTAACTTTGGGGAACAAGTCACGTGAAATTACAGCTACTAACGCATCACTTTGGAGAATGAGGCTACAGAGTAGATATACTCAGTGGCACTCTTACTGGGAATGATGCTAAAATTCAAATGTTTGTTTATAATATATGACAATATTCTTCCAAGAGATGAAAAGAGGAGACAGGAATTCATGTCTTATTACTTGTTCACCCTTATTGACCTTTCTTAGGGTCTCAGCCTCCAGTCACAGTTTCTGCCTATCTCAGTCTAATTTCCTTCTTTTCATTTTGGTTGTTAAGGTTGGGCTATCATGCGAATTGAGTTAACACAAGACATTTTTCACGCACTGTCCAAGGCAAGAGCCATATGGTCATCCTGAGTAAGGAGGGGAGTTAACCCTAGTGAGTCAAGAAAATTGACCCAAGGTGTGGTATAGGGTAGGGTAAAAGGCCAGTGATTAGTCCCTAGGAGAGCTCTCTGGAGTGAATAAGAGACCGGGGTGGGGTTCTGTTCAGAGTTACCTATCCTCGAGTGGGGGGCAGAAGAGGGGTCAAGAGACAGCCTGAGGTAGCTGGACACTGCTGCAGAGCTTAGCAGCAAAACTGGCTGTAAGTCCCACTTCAGAGCAGTTTCTCTTTTTTCGTATCTGGGTCCATAAGGAAGTCATCATATAGGTTACAATGATTTCATTGTATTGATTTTAGCTAAGTACTAAATGTTAAATCTTGCTTTCCTTCTTGACCTTGTGTACACAGGAATTACCTCTGAATCTTTGGTTGCTGAAACTACTATACCACCCATAGAAGAGCTAGCCAGGGACATGGAAACTGGAAGAAAGTCTTGTCTTTCTCCAAAAGAGAGAGAACAGGTTCCAGCAACACCCCAAATAACCGTGGCAGAACAGGATAGGCACCCTGGTATCAAATTACAGGTCGCCCCCATCCCCAGGTAAGCACTCTCTGCAGCAGGCTTCGTGCTCACAGGCCCAGTTCTACTCCACAGATCCAAGTACTGTCAGTGTTTTCACATCTTCTGCCTCATAGAAAGATGAGGTGGTGCAATCCATTCTTGGCATTGAGGGAAGGAGCTGAGGGTGAGGGGAGGGTTGGAACGGACCGAGAGAACTGGCCTGCGGTGAGGGAGGTGCTGCTGGAGTCACGAGGGTTTGGGGTGGATTTCTTCTTCCTCTTCACCCTCACTGGCCTTGCACTTGTAGACCCCACCTTCCTTTCCTGCCAGCCTGGCACAGATTGGTGGGGGGGCCACAAAGTGCCAACAGGGGCAGCCTCTGCAGCTGTGCGGAGGAGGGGCAGCGAGCAGCCCCATAAAAGCAGGGAGGGCGGCTGGGTGTGTACTGGTTACAGACTGCTCAGAGTACCAGTTGGCTTTTTAACAAGTATAAGTTTAAGGCAGAATCCATAGTAATTTAAGGAATTGTGTCAGGTGATCAGTGTCATTTTCTGAAACATTAATGTAACATCAGTCTCTGTTCATGATCTGAGAGCAGATGGAGTCCACCCAGTTGGTTCTGACAATCAGAAAAGGGCCATGTTAGGACGAGAGCTGCTCTAGACAGAACTATCAACCTACATTGAAATATCTATTGTGTCTTATTAATAGAATAAGAAAAAAATAAGGACAAAGTGGAATTTTAAAAGAAGCGATAAAGTTGTGAATACCTCTCTTGTCTCTCAGAATAAGTGGGATGCCGGAAGTGCAGGACATGAAGCTGATCACTCCCGTACGGCGCTCAGCGAGGATCGAGCGAGCCGTGTCCCGCTACCCGGAGATGCTGCAGGACCATGATTTAGTGGTGGCTTCTCTCAGCGAGCTGTTAGAAGTGGAAGAAACAGAGTGTTTTGTATTCCGTAAAAATGAGGCTTTGCCTGTAACATTAGGGTTTCAAACCCTTGAATCATAACTTCTTGAGCCTCCATGAGACAAGAAATGCCCTCGTCCAGCTGACCTGGGAGAAACTGTCGTGGACGCAGACCAGGACTTGGAAAGTAGCTTGCAAGACTCACTCTCAAATTGTCCATCTCACACAGGATAACCTTGGCTTGTTTGTTTAAGGTTGTCGTTTGCCAATTTCACAGCATCCAGAAATTTCACACTATTGAACATGAATTTATCCCACAAGTATGGTAAGGACACGGAAGACAGACCTTCCTTCCTGCGTCCACCTTACTCCTCCCAGCGTGGACGGTCTGAGCTCAGGTCATGTGGGACATGACAGGCCACCTGGTCAGTTCCCCTCATTTTACAGATGAATTTATACTCGCCATGCCTTTGCTCAGCAATCATAAATGGTTTACATATGACCTTTGCCTCTGTCACCGTGTCCTTGTGACGAGGGGTACGTCCTTTCTCTGCCAGATCTCCTAGTGAAACCATCCTGGATTGGGATGGTCGTCGAGTTTTTTATATCCAGTCCTAATTTTTGCATTTGTTATTCAAAATGCTTTAAGTAAAGGCAGAAATGGGAGCGGGTGGGGAAGGATGCTTGCTTTTGCACTTCAGTTCTTTGCTCTGCCAGGGAACCCCCGCCTGAAAAGGCGGTGTGAGCCTCAGACTCTACGGGTTGCCTTTTCTTCCCTCTGAGCAACTGCTCTTGGGAAGGTAAAATCTGAATCACTGTAAATATAATGTAGAGAACCCGGTTCAACAGCTTTCTTAATATTTAAGTATTAACCAAAAAAGAACATTAAATTTTGTTTATTCCTGCTTCATTTTATCTTATTTATTACAAAAGAAACAGTGATGATGGCGTGAGAATTAGTGGTTTGTCTGGGGAACCACCAATAGGCTACTCCAGAGGCCTATGGGACATTGATTACCCTGGAGAGCTGACCTTGATCAGAGTCTGACCATCAGCCACACCCAGGAACCAGGCTTATTCATCGTGAGAGAAGCAGATCCATCTCTAGGTCAGATGTATAATAACAAGGTTCATGAAACAGCTATAACGACTGCAATGCGGATAGATTAAGAAGTAGATTGTTACCACAACCAAAATCAGGAATGTGTACAGCCAACCCTTTCCTCCCTTTAGACACTCACTTTTACCTGTGACACCACCAAATGCCCACGGGGGTTCCTAGGGATCACAAAATCTGAAAATGGGAGTTATTTTTCCAGGTTCTTTGTCCTCGGGTCCTTTGTGCATTTATTACTGCTTCATTTTATCTTATTTATTACAAAAGAAACAGTGATGATGGCGTGAGAATTAGTGGTTTGTCTGGGGAACCACCAATAGGCTACTCCAGAGGCCTATGGGACATTGATTACCCTGGAGAGCTGACCTTGATGAATGGAGTGGATCCAGAGACAAGGAAGCATGGAACAGAGTGCAGAATCTCAGAGGGAAGGCGGGGGAAGGTGGGTGGGTGGGAGGTTATCAATCAAGGACCTTGTGCATATATGCATGGCCCATGGACACAGACGAGGCCATGCATATATGAGGCAGTGAGGGCCTGGGGCTGGGGGAGAGGGGCAGGCTAGAGGGGGTCAATGGGGGAGAAAAGGGGACATATGTAATACTTTCAACAGTAAAGAATTATTAAAAAAACAAAACAAAAGAAGAAGTATTTTTGTGCACATAATACATGATTGGCTGTAGAGGACCTCATTCCAGGTCATTAGGAAGACAGTAAATGTGATAGCCCAGATGTCCTTGAACTTGGTGCATTAATACATATGAGAAGTTATACTTGTGCTTTAAAAATGTGATCGTGCCCTAGTTGGTTTGGCTCAGTGGATAGAACATTGGCCTTTGGACTGAAGGGTCCTGGGTTTGATTCCGGTCAAGAGCACATGCCTGGGTTGCGGGCTCAATCCCCAGTAGCAGGCAACTGATCAATGATTCTCTCATCATTGATGTTGCTATCTGTCCCTCTCCCTTTCTCTCTGAAATTAAAAAAAAAAAGTGATTGTACTCTAGCTGGTTGCTCAGTGGTTAGAACATTGGTCCTCGGACTGAAGGATTGCAGGTTTGCTTCCAGTCAAGGGCACATACCTCGGTTGCAGGCTCCATCCCTGGCCTGGTCTGGGTGAATGCAGGAGGCAACCAATTGATGTGTCTCTCTCACATCGATGTTTCTCTCTCTCTCTCTCCTCCTCTCTCCACTCACTCTAAAAATCAATGGGAAAAATATCCTCAGGTGAGGATTAACAACCAAAAAGAACATTAAAAAACACACACAAAACACCATGATCATTACTTTGGTAGGAACTGCTCTGTGTGGTACTCAGCCCTGGCCTGTCCTTGTTCTGATGTCACTGTCCCTTGTTGGTGGTGCCAGCTGGGATATATAGAGACTTAGAACAAGAGTCTCTGCATTTGAAACGACAGACGAACTTTTGACACAGCTCACTGGTGGCATTTTCTGTGGATAAACAAGGGACACACCTGGAACATCTGAAGACAAATAAGGGGCAACAGGCCACGAGCTCCGAGCGCTCAGTCATTTTTCACATCTGCATTTCAGGTTTGGAGCCCAAGGCCTTTCCTTCTTCCTGGGTTGACTTTGGGCCAGCCCAGGCAAGGACCAGGTACCCCTGGTCCTTTAAACACTAGATTCTTATCCTGGGTAGAGGGTAGCATTTCATCAGGAAAGACCCTAGGTCCCGCTTTTTGGAAAGGTGCTGTAATATGTTCAGTATCTGAATCTATACAGATTTGGGTCCTGGGTTGGCACAAAATACCGGCTCTTCCACAAAATACCGACTTCTGCGCATGGGCCACAAAGTTTCAATCACACTGTACATGCGCGCCTGCACGTGGTATTTTGTGGAAGAGCCACACTCAAGGGGCCAAAGAGCCGCATGTGGCTCGTGAGCCACAGCTTGCCAACCACGGCCCTAGGAGATGTATCCCTAAACATACTGCTACGAGAGATGTCTGAGATTTTGCTGCCTATGGTTTCTTCTAGGATATTTATGGTTTCATGACTTAAATTTAGAAATACTGTTTTTTAAAAGAAATTGTCCCCTGCTGCATTGGGCCACCACTTCTTGTGCCATCTCCTTTCTCTACTGTTGCCATTGCCACCCCTCCATGACCCGTCCATCTGCCCTCCAAGTGACCCGAAGCACCTCATGGCTCCCCGGAATCCAGACACACAGCACCCTTTCCACTGTGATGAGGCCCTGGCACCCCCTTGCTGTATCTCCTGCCGAAATACCAAGATGCAAAGATTGTGCCAACCCAGGACCCAAAAGCCTGGCTTCTTGTGATATCCTGGTAGACATGGTTGGCGAGTATGACCCTCAGATGCCAATATGGCCATCACCAGAGGTCATTCACAGAGGCCATGAGCTCCCCGTCCCCTGGGAAGCCGTGGCCGACCCAGCTGAGCAGTGTGGACTCATCTACCTGCATCAGCACAAGCTGTGGCCCAGATGCTGAGTAGCAGTGAAGAACACAGTAGGGTGGGCCCCGTCTATGACAAGATGAAGGAGAACTTTGTGGAGGAGGTGGATGCAATGGGACAGCCTCGATGCACACTGACCACTATGTTGTGCCAGGGTTGCCCGGCTTAATCCCACCTGGAACCAGCCCAACCAACACACCGAGGCCGGGCTCAGGTGGGCAGTGCATCTGGTTCAAGAGGAGTTTCTGCAGAGACTAGTCTTCTACCCGCACAGCTGGCAGCCAGCACAGGTCTGGATGGAAGAGGCCCTGGCCCAGAGATTCCAGGTGGATCCAATAGAACTGGCAAAAGGTGGCTGTCCCTGATAGGAGCCTCTCTATCACCTGGAATCTGGGCTGTCACCCTGGTGACCATCGCCTTTGTTATCTACAGTGACCAGGCTGGACAGAGGCGGGTACAGTGTGCCCAAGGAGCTCCATCCGGTCCACGTCTGGTCTCCGTCCGGAAGACCCCTGCCAGAGCCATGCTGAGGTCTTCCGGGCGAGGCCCAAGGCCAGGTCAGTGCTGTTCCTAGCTGCATCTTTGTCCATGCCAGTGGCTTCACTGGTGGGCACCACACCCAACAGGGTGCCACCTTGGCCCAGCACCTATGCCTCCCACAAATCCCCTCATCTAATAAAATTTCTTCCATTTAAAAAAAGAAAGAAAGAAATGTGCAGAAATAAAATTGCATGTGCAGCTCAGGGAACTTGTTACACACATTTCCCTGGCTCAGAGGCCGGGGGGACACCTCGGATAAGCAGTGCTTCCTCCCGGAAAGAAGTGTTCTTGGCTCCAAATCCGTCCCATTTAGGAGAGGTCAACACGGTGCTTCTCCCGTCCACACTTGTCCTGTTACCTGAAAAATACCTCAAGTGGAAGACAGCCCCTGGTGCCGGCCCAGGTCCAGCACTCGGGCAGCCTTGGTGCAGCTCTGCTGGTCCTCAGGAGCCAAGAAAAGTGGTCCTGGAACCTTTCCTCCGAAGCTCACACAGTGACTCCAGCCAGGGGTAGGAAAGGTGCCCAAAGCCCTTCTCTGGGCTGGGATGGAGATGAGGGGCAGAGAGGCCAAGCCACACATCCCCAGAGAAGCCACAGCTGCCACTCGTAGTGTGTGCGGCCCTCTGCTGGTTGGGATGGGGAAGTAGCTCCACAAACCACCTGGAACCACCAGCTAAAGGGAGCCTATGAGAGGGACACTTTAAGCAGCCCCAGGAATGCCAGGGTAGCCACTGAGCCAGCCTGCCATCATGACAGCGGGGATCTCAGCTCAGGGGCTCAGGCAGCACAAGGGACGAGGGGCTGAAAGCAGGAGCCCCTCTCTCGTGGTTCTGCCACCTCTCCCAGAGCAGGGGTGGGTTTATCAGACCATCAGCCAAAAGGAGGCTGGAGGGGGGCCAGGCACCAACAGTCAGCTGGGCCCAGCTGAGCAGAACTGGGGATCTGCTCTGGGATTAGAGCCTTGGTTCTTGGACCTATTGGGCCCAATGCCCAATTAAGAGTATTTTAATTTCCTAAATTGAAATTGAGGAGGTGGATGCATGAATCTATGAATTTCTATACTAAATTGAAATTCATAGATAATATAATTATTGTCTCAATAATTTAAAAAATAAATATAATAGCCTCACTATAACATAGAAGAAATAAAAAGAAAAGCAATCCTATATAATAAAGAGGTAATATGCAAATTGACCATCAGGCCCTCACACAAGATGGACACCACAAAATGGCCGACAAGG